AATGTAAATCGGACGAAGTTATATATGGGAGATATATCCAAATCCGGAACGATCTCGATAAAATTTAGCAAAGGTATTTCTGAGCTGTATTTGATATATTTCCATATTAAGGCTGCGGAGGAATACAATAACAAATCGGATGAACGATATATATGGGAGCTATAGCTATATCTGAACCGATTTCGATCAAATTTAGCATAATTATTTTCAGACCTAATTTGATTGTATGTGCAAAACTCCATACTATTCGGGCTGATATTACACGTTTCGTGCACAATAAAAGGCAAATCGGACGAAGATATATATGAGAGCTATATCTAAATTTTTAATTTTTCTATCTCCAATTTCAATAGAGTTCGTCCTTGGGCCAAAAAAATGAAAAAATGATTTAAGCAAAATTTCATCTGGATCGGGTAATAAATGAGAACTGTACTTTGTTCACAAAAATAAATGAACAGACGGGCGGACTTGCATAAATCGACTCAGAATGTGATTCTATGCAGATCATTAAAAGGAACTATGGATCTATCTCGTTTCCTTTTGCCTGTTACAAACAAATGCACAAAGATATAATAACCTGAACACCTTGTGGTGTAGGGTATACAAATAATACATAATTCGACCGGCCCGAACTATAAATACCCTCTACGATTAGAAATTTGGAAATTAAAAAAAAAACAAGTACAAAAGCATTAAGTTCGGCCGGGCCGAACTTTGAATACCCTCCACCATTTGGAACGAATTAGAAAATATTTATGGGGGGATATACGATATTGTGGACCTATAAAGACAAATCTATGTCTGCGTACTCACAAGGAACTCCTTGTGTGGATTTTCAGATAATTCCATTGGAAAAAGTGGCTTAAATCATCAAAATACCGAATATAGGGGAGTACCGTTATATGGGGGATATACGATATTGTGGACCTATATAGACAATTCCGTTTCAGCAGTAAAGTGCTCACAAAGAACTCCGTGTGTGGATTTTCAGACAATACGATTGGTAAATGTGGCTAAAATCATCAAAATACCGAGTATCGCGGGGTACCGTTATATGGGAGCTATACGTTATCGTTAACCTATATGGAGAATTCCCTGTCGGGGGGTAAAGTGCTCACAAAGAACCTCTTGTGACCATTCCGTTGAAAAGTATGGCTAAAAACATCAAAATACCGAATATCGGGGGTACTGTTATATGAGGGCTATACGATATCGTGGACCTATGTAGATAATTCTCTGCCGAGGTATAAAATACCCACAAGGAACTCCTTGTGTGGATTTTCAGACAATTCCGATGAAAAATGTGGGTAAAATCATAAAAATACCGAATATCGGGGGATACCGTTATATGGGGGATATACTATATCGTGGACCTGTATAGACAATTCTCTCTCATTCTGTAAAGCAACTGCAAAATCAGGAAACTTTTTTGGTCCATTTGGTCCGATCATCGCCAAAAGCTATAGACTGCTATTCTGATCATAGCCCCACCTCCATGCAAGTTTTCGTGAGGACAGACGGACATACATACTTAGCTGGATCGACACAGCTCGGCGAGATAGGAAGATCCATATATACTTTGCTATGTGCGAAACTAATATTTCGAGGTCTTACATAATATTTGGCCCAATCAAACTTAAAATACACCCAACACATAGTGCTGTAGGATATAAAAATGTAAAAATTATGGCGTTTGAATTTGTTGCAGTTTTTTATCTCACAATGTGGACCGTTCTCTTTCAAGGGGTAAAGCACCTACAAAGAACTCCTTGCGTAGAATTTCAGACATTGAAAAATGTTGCTTACATCATTAAATTCCGAATATCGGAGGGTACCGTAATATGGGGGCTATATGATATCGTAGACCGATATAGCCCTTTTTCCATCTTGAACCGGCCTTCCCATCTTAATTCGTTTTGTCTCAAGATTACAGACGGACTGACAGACATATCTTAGTATATTACGCAGATCAACAATATACATATATACTTTCTAAGGTCCAAAATTATTATTTCGATGTGTTACAAACGGATAACGAACTTAAAATACCCTCCATACTATGCATGGTAGAGCCTATAAAAACGTCGAAAACACGGTTCAAGTCATAAAAATACCGAATACAGGAAGTTATCGTTATATTGGGGTCTATACGAAGACGTTGACCTGCATACAATTTTTGTTATAAGCCATTACAAATTCAAATACTAAATTTGAAATAATTCCGATGAATAATGTTATAAAAATTATCAATGCCGAATGTAGGGAGGTACTATTATATGGGGAACGTATAACCCATTGCAAACTTACAAATTTGTACCATACATATATATGCACACCTCAGTAAAATTTTATCAAGCTACTACAATTCGTTCGGAAGGTAGAGTGAATTACACAAACGGACAGAGAGACAGGCCGGCGGGCATCGTTAAATCGCTGTAGAATTTTATGATGATCAAGAATACATATACTTTGTGGGGTCAAAAATGCACATTTAGAGGTATTACGGACGAAATGAAATTCCATAATATGGAGGAGGGTATAAAAATTCGTTTTTGTATATAACTTACTAGCTGGCCCGGTCCGCGTTGCCGGCCCGTAGTTTTTGTCTATTATGCATATATTCCCAAGCATAATTATTCACAGATATGACTGATATAAGTGTTCACGTACATGTCGATTTAAAGTGTTTTAAAATACCTGTACCCATTTTTAACCAGTGGGCTTCAAAATTTAAACCGTGGGCTTCAACTGTGTGGATGTGCTATACAAATCTATTAAAAAGTATATATCAATCTTATCGCCATATAAGGGATCAAATTAATTTTTAATATGGTAAAAATCGTAGCAAAATCTTCCAGTCAAATGAGCAGTAATTTGGAATTTGCTGTATTTTGTATACTACATAATTGAGGGCTGAATGATTTAAGAATAGCCAAAGTTAATTACTTTTTTAAACCCATTAGCAACTTAGATTGTGCATTAGAGTCCTCATAAGTCCCCCTAACCATGTCAGTCTGTTTGTCCGCCAAAAGGTGGACTTGAGAGGGTATTATAACATGGATAAAAATTCTAAAATTTGTAGATATGTTGAAATTTTAGTGTAAGATTTTCACCACCCCCCCCCCCCCTAATATGCATTATTAGCCAAATTCTTTGAAATGTGGTTAAATTAGGAGGTACCTCCTTTATATGGGCACTACTCCGAAACATCGACCTACATTGAAAACTTTCTTCTACCCCTTATAATCCAAGATGACAAATAGAGGCCAAATCAAAAATATAGCAGAACAATATAGCATGTCATAGCATTTCGCGTGATTTAAATAAGTAAAAATAGTTTTATCCACCTCATAATTGCGGGCAGAATGATAAGATGGGAATTAATTTTATTTGCCATTTAAATTGTAAGTTGGAGACCCCTTAAAGTCCATATTTTTATTTGTAATTTGTTCGTGTTTCCACAATTTATTTCATATGGATGCACATCCCAAATCTACGTTCCCAACCAATATTCTCTTGGGGGTTAAAAATTCAATAGAATACAAAATTTTCTTTTCTGACCACACATTAGATGTGAAAGTGGACTTGGGGATACTCCAATGTGGGGACTTTACTTAAATAAATTCCTATGTGGCAATTATCTGTATGATGGTTCCCTACCCCAGGGTGGCATTAATAAAATTTTTTAGCCAAATCAATTGATGAATGTGGTCAATACCAATATGGGCCCTACTCTGAAAATTTCAAATTTTATGCGAAGAGGTTATCTACCCCCTTAGAAACAAAAATGTCAAATAAGGGCCAAAAAATGAAAAAAGTGGCCGGCCAAGACCCCAAAAATAACTTAAATCATAGATGGTTATATAAATATGAAATCGGGTTGTTCCCTTATCCATGAGTTATGATCGATATAAAGACCTGCAAAAGTGATTTTAGGTATTTTGAATGTTTGGGAAGAATTTCTGGAAGGATATAAAACCTTTTCTTACTAAAAGTCCCATTCGCTCTACTATTTTGCACCTTTTATTTCAATATTGGTATATTACTTATTATTCTCCCAAAGAATTTTGCATTTTGAGCTCTCATTGGACGGATCATTGTCACGCTTTGAAATGAGCCCCATTAAGCTTTTTCGGTCATTTTTGTTTGTTTAAACGTGTTCGCATCTTCCAGCTAACCCACGGTGTAGGCCCTGGAGTTGAAAGGTAGATGTCAGTTAACATCCTATTTCGCACTTATTTAATTATTTTAGTGAAAAATTATTCTTTATTTTGTTCACAAAAAAAAATTGACAAAAAAAAGAATAACAAATTGAAAAAGTCTTCAACTTTTTGCTGATTTTTTACAGCAAATGTTTTAAGATCCTTCCTTACAAAGTTTGTCAATAGAATGTACTATTACTTTAAAATTCGATTCCATTGAAAATGTTTTTTTTGATTTTTGCAATGAGATCTCTTTTTCATGATTTTTCAGCGATTTAGAAAAAGTAATTATCTTTTAACTTTGGTGTGACCGCGTTAAATTATTTCGATATCATCTATTCCGTTTCGCCACCACATAATTCGCTACTACACTTCCATGTAACCCGCCATCAATTTCAGTTCTCAAAAAATCAAGTCAATTAAATAAATTGGTATAAATATTCGAATTCAAAAATAAAATATAAAAAAACACTACAAATGTACATTAGAAAAAAGTAAGTCAAAATGGAAAAAAAATCATGCAAAATAAAACATTACTATTGTACATTTGAAAAGTCAAAATGAAAATGTTAATATATCACATTTTTACGCGATTTTTTTGGATATTATCCTTTTCGGAGAGTAGACAACTCCGAATTTGTGTGAATCGTTAAAATTAATCCAGCGGTTCTTAAGTTATAAGCGTAGTAACTAACACAACTTACATTTATATATATAGATATTACTAACTTAGCTCTAATTTTTTTTGGTCCTCCTCTTTAAAATATTAATTTATGTTTTTTTTTTCTTTTCTTCCAGAATAAACCTAAATTATTGAGCCCCTTTGTCTATTTGACATACATTGGCTGTTGGCTGTATGGCCTCGTAGCACTTCGACATTTCATCTCGGGCTTATTTAACCGCGGACCATTTTTACCTCTTTTTCTTCATCTCTTGATACATTTGACAATTATTGGTAAGTTATCTTTGATACTTGTTCGTAATTCGTGCAAATATAAAATCAAATCCGTTTCAGGTATTCTAGTTGCAATGTTATGGCCAGTATTAAAGTTGCACAAGAGATGGCGCAAGGAACGCAAAATATCAATGTCTACTGTCTGCAATAATAGTACAACTAATTTTTAATTAGTTTAAGAATGCTTTTTAGGATGTATTTGAAATAAACCAAACAAAATGTTATGGGTTCCAGAATTAAGGTGCAAGACAATTTTGATTTACAACACTTATTAAAACTAAATTAATTTTTTGCTTCTGGTAGGTGACTAGAAAACACTGTTCCTTTCCAGCAAATATATGACTGAAACGTAATATATTCTTTAACCTGTAAGGAAAGTCTTAAAGTCGGGCGGGGCCGACTTTATGATACCCTACACCACTTTGCTAATTTAGTAGAGCTCCGCATAACAATTAAAAGTTTTAATGGGAGAATTCAATCATACGCGCTATGATTATAATTATAATTTAAAGTTATGCCGAAGTATTTGTATGTTTTAAATTCGGACTTGTGTTGCCCATTTGGTGACAAATAATTTAAAATCGGATAAAAATATATATGGGAGCTATATCCAAATCTGAACCGATCTCGATAAAATTTGGCAAAGATATTTCTGAACTGTATTTTATATATTTCACTGAATATAGTTGTTACGGAGTGCATATTACGGCTGTGGGTAACAAATACAATAAATCGGATGAACAATATATATGGAAGCTATAGCTATATCTGAACCGATCTTCACCAAATTTGACATACTAGCTTCTAGACTCAATTCGTAAATCGGACGAAGTTATATATGGGAGCTATATCCAAATCTGAACCGATATCGATAAAATTTGGCAAATGTATTTATGAGCTGTATTTGATACATTTCCCCAAATATTGTTGTTACAGAGTGCATATTACGGCTGCGGAGGACAAAAATAACAAATCGGATGAACAATATATATAGGAGCTATAGCTATATCTGAACCGACTTCGATCAAATTTGGCATACTTATTTTTAGGCCTAATTTACGTATATATGCAAAAATCGGGCTGATATTACACGTTTGGTGCACAACAAAAGTTAAATCTGACGAAGATATATATGGGAGCTATATCTAAATTTTGACCGATTTTCTCCAATTTCAATAGGGTCCGTCCTTTGGCAAAACAAATGATCTGTGCAAAATTTCATCTGGATCGGATAATAAATGCGACCTGTACTTTGTTTACAAAAATATATGGACAGATGGACAGACGGACGGACATGCATAAATCGACTCAGAATGTGATTCAATGCAGATCATCAAAAGGAACTATGAGTCTATCTCGTTTCCTTTTGCCTGTTACAAACAAATGCACAAAGACATAATACCCTGACCACCTTGTGGTGTAGGGTATAAAAATCGTAGTTTGCTCTTATATATAGACTATACAAAGATATGGGCCGACATGACCCATTTTTTTAACCAATGATTTTTAAAGTAATCCAAAGTTCTCTATAAAATTTCAAAGCTCTATATTAATTGTTGGGAAATATAGCCCAAATATTGGGGACCTTTTGTATATACCAAATACCAATTCTAGACCATATGTATTTTGGACTTAATCCGTTTCACGATATTTGGAGTCGTTCTTACGGTGGCCGCCCTTCCGTCTGTCTATCTGGCTGGTGTGCACGATTACTCTCGAAGGGAGTATCCGATTTTGCCCGAACTTGGTACATCATAATGTTACTATTAAACTTAGAACGAGTTCGTTGATAGAAAATATAGATCCTCTCCTTCTAGAACATCCCCCACAAAAGGTCAAATGAAAATAATTTACAGCACAGAAATAGAAAGGACATTTAAAGTTTTAAACTACATCCGTTCACATAAAACCAAATGGTTCCTTTTTAGAAGTTTAGTATCACTCTAGAACTTTGTGACCTTAAAGTTCCAATTTTCCAAAAAAGACTTTCGTGTATCCTTTTTGCTCAATCTGAAGAATCCCATTCGGATGAAACAAATATAGCTCCCATATATCTGAACCGATTTTCACCAAATTGTATATACCTACTTCTAGACCGAATTCCATCGGAGGTGCCAAAATTCACTCCGTTTGGGATGATTTTAGCGATTTGGTACACAATAAACCGGAAATCGGATGAAGATAAATATGGGAGCTATATCCAAATCTTAACCAATCTTTTCAAAATTTTAGGCACTAATTTCTGTTCTGTATCTGATATCTTGTACCAAAGATTATTGTTGTGGAGTGCATATTACGCATGTGAGGGACCTAAAAATTCCAAATCGGATGAAACATATATATGTGTGTTATAGCTATATCCGAACCGATTTTTATCAAATTACCTTACCACTATGTGGTGTATAAAAAGGACCAAAAGAACCTTTTTGGAGACTCGCATGAGGCTTAACATTCTCCACTAAAATAATCGTCGTATTGTTATCAGTAATTTTGAAGCATGTACTATATACATAGAATGCACGAATATCAAGGAATCGTAATCCTAAAATTTATAAAATGCGTGGAAGAGGGGTGAATTGCCTTCTTTATTTGGGTTACATAACGAATTTGTTCTATGTTGTTGGGAAATGCAAAAGAAATTGAAAGGCGGTATATCTAGACCTAAATTGAATCATATTATATATATATATATATATATATATATATTATGTTATTAAGCTATAACTACATAATGAAGTAATTCGAAACCACAGAAGTTTTTTCCCCACAAGGTTTTTAATAAATAAAATTTGCTAAATATACACATGCACATTTAGAATCTTCTCCTAGGTTTGATCTATTACGTATTGACGGAATTTAATACAAGGAAATATATTTTGTATAGGTATGTTGCTTTAACTCCCATATCGGAGAATGTAAATTAATTTGTTTAAAAATATAAATAAATCAGAGGTACAATAAATATGCCAATGCATGTTATTATTAAATGTTGCTCATGGGTATCCATTTGTGTACACTTTTTGCTAAGCATTTTCGGAATTTTTATTTCAATCAATTAATTGAGACTGTGGGTTCTCTTTAATGACTCTGCCACTGCTAAGTTATTGCCATATCGAAATTGGGTATATTCATTACTTTGTACTTATTAATTAAATTTTTTGGTAGTTATCTGCAAAAGTTTAAAATTGAGAATACTTTTTTGGGATTTGTTCTACTCTGTGCTTTTTCAAACGTCTTGAATTCGGAAACTCTATGAAGGGTGAGTAAAAGAATTAAAATATTTAATATTAATTATAATATATATATAACAATAAAGTATAAACAATAGAAAAGGTAAAGGTCTTTATCGGACTATAGAAATTCAAAAAATAGTTAGGTTCTATTGCCTATAAAATATTATGGTGTTTTGAGTATTTTTCAGAGCCAATAATCATGCGATTGATTTAAATTTTTGAAGATGTTATAATTTCTAGAAGTGTTCAGTTGAAAGGATCCTCATTTCCAATATATTGTTGCGGCTTTCACTTTTCAGACTCAGTCCAAACTTTTGAAACCCTTTGTCTTCTCCACCATGTCTATATATTTTGTTCATGGCGTTTTGATAATTGTCAATTTTATCTCTGGCTTAAATCTTCCAACGTTTGTTTCGTCATATCTCAGCTTGTTATTGTTTTTGTCAATAGTTGGTTAGTTTTACGGGTGCTACTAACAATTAATTCTAGAATTTTCTTATTACAGTTATCCAGGTTCAAATCATGCGGCCAATATGGAGACTATATAGAGATCGTCATACCGAAAGAGAAATACCAAACTTTGGTACTAGAAACCTATAGTAAGAATAAATACCGAGTACGAGGTGTGTTTATACACTTGCGTTTGTGTGTTCTCTGTCGTGATTGAAACATCAATAAAAAGGCATGTACAGATAATTTTCAACAATTATTTTTGAGCTAATTTTTTGTATATTTTTTGTTTGATAAATATTAAATAAAAAATAAGATAATTATTAAATTAACCATTACCTTTTTAGCACTATCCAAAAAAATATAAGGCGAATGCGTCAGATAACGATTTGGCTAGGTACTTCAAACACACATGGGTTACATACCAGACCTGGACTTATATGGCGCATTTTTTATCAGAAGGTGTAATAATTGAAAATATCGAATTACAGATACTTTCGAAGGCCGGACCCGCTATATGGAGGAAAATGTCGAAAATTGGAGTAATCCACTACAGGAACCTACATCAAATAGTAGATCGGAATAAAAAAGTTTCTAAAGGAAAAGTCACAGTTTGGTGCGGTTTATGGACTGGTGGCAACATTGAATTGTACTTTTTTAAAGATGCTGCGAATCGTAACGTAACGTAACCGTGAGATGATCCAACTTTTTATACCCTACATCACAAGGTGGTCAGGGTATTATGACTTTGTGTTTTTTTTGTAACAGGCAAAAGGAAACGAGATAGAACCATAGTTCCTTTTGATGATCTGCATAGAATCACATTCTGAGTCTAATTATGCATGTCCATCCGTCCGTCTGTCCATGTATTTTTGTAAACAAAGTACAGATGAAATTTTGCACAAATCATGGCCCAAGGACGAACCCTATCGAAATTGGAGATAATCGGTCAAAATTTAGATATATAGCTCCCATATATATCTTCGTATGATTTGCCTTTTATTGTGCACCATACGTGCAATACAGTCCGAATAGTATGGAATTTTGCACGTACGATCAGATTAGATCTGAAAATAAGTGTGCCAAATTTGATCGAAATCGGTTCAGATATAGCTATAGCTCCCATATATATTGTTCATCCGATTTGTTATTTTTGTCCTCCGTAGCCGTAATATGCTCTCTGTAACAACAATATTTGGGAAATATATCAAATACATCCCAGAAATACATTTGCTAAATTTTATCAAGATCGGTTCAGATTTGGATATAGCTCCCATATATAACTTCGTCCGATTTACCTTTTATTGTACACCAAACTTCTAATATTTGCTCAAATTGGATAAAATTTGGCACTTACGGATTACTGAATTGAGTCTAGAAGCTAGTATGGCAAATTTGGTGAAGATTGGTTCAGATATAGCTATAGCTCCCATATATACTGTTCATCCGATTTGTCATATTTGTTACCCACAGCCGTAATATGCACTCCGTAACAACGATATTCAAGGAAATATATCAAATACAGCTCAGAAATTTTTTTGCCAAATTTTATCGAGATCGCTTCCGATTTGGATATAGCTCCCATATAT